GGATTAACCTCGCTATGCGAGGCACCACTGTACTTTCCAACCCTGTTCTTAAATAAATATTTAAAAATGAAAAAAAAGTTATGAAGCTCAGCTTCTTACAGTCAGGAGACTTAGCTTCCTCCAATCATGAGCTTTATGGAACTGATATCAGCTGATGCTGTACAAACCAATTGGAACAACTCATTGGAGGTGGAGCCTGTAAGCTCAGATTCAACAGGGACTCAAAATGTCTGACTGTTCAGAGCCCAGAAGCTGAATCCTCAAAGCTAAGTTTTCTTAATTTTTGGGTTAGAAAAGGGGGGCATCTTATAAATGCAGATGTGTTATAAACAGAAAAATACAGTACTTATTAGCTCCCCTTATATAATTTCTCACATAGTGGAATGTGAAAAAGGGAGGAACCCCACCCCCCAATTAAAATAGAGCTACCAGAGGCAAGATTCCACTAAGGAAAATAACTTGTGAAGACACAAAACTATCTCTTTGGTCTGTCTTCTGCGTCAGAGAATGCTATTTTGAGAATCAGCAGTGGAAAATATCGCTTGAGTAGTGTGAAAACGATGCGCTATTAGAACACATCTTTTCCCTTGAAGATTCCTTCTGGGCCTCAAGCAGTTTAGAAAGATCATCTGGTGTGGTCTTAAGATTCCTCCTACTCAGAGCCACACATTTAACATGGGGAATGGTCCCACTACTGTCTCAGATGTTTTCCACTATTGTTAAACACACAGTGTGATCTAGTAGTAGTGTCTTGCCTCACTGGCTTAAAACCAATGTAGGCTTCTATAGTAATTTTTCCTACAATAGAATCATGTATGACTGTTAACAAGTTCACAAAAAATGTACTACTTTAAACGTAACACAATTATTTTTATGGCAACACCAAATCCATGACCACTCTTTGGAATTCATACTTTAAAATATTTGGAAGATATATCAGGTTACATTTGTGTTACACAGCACTTTGATCAGGAGAAATTGTAGGTAACCAATAGTGACCAAATATCAGGATATCCCTAGACAAAGTGGTTTTCTATCGCAATTTCAGTAACATACTGGTTATATAAAGTAATGAAAAAGCCATCTTGTAAAAAAGAAAAAAACTAAGCAGGACACATTTCTGGAAACACTGACTCATGCTGCTTTCCTCCTCCCATTCAACAATACTAGCCTAATCCTCCTTTAGAATCAGAAAGCACAGCAGATTTATTCAAAGCATCTGGTGGCAGGAAATTCATGTAGTTAATTAGCACAGTAACTGTGCATTTGTATTGTCTGTCGATAATGCATTCAACTTCAGCCTTCAGTTATATGCAAACTCCAGTATTATGTGGGCATTTTTTAAAAGCAGGGGTTCAGTCATGCTCCATAACAGATTAATATGCACTCAAATTTAAATTCAAACATCTGCTTCATTCAACTATTACTTGAAATCAGTTTTATTTCAGTATTTACAAAGAGCAGTACTATTCTTCGACTAGAAACAAAAAACATTACAAAAAATACCTACTCCTGTACATACTTTTCAAAGGTTCAACCTCTTTAAAATCTGTTAATTAAATTAAGTTTTCATCTGTAAATATTTGACACAGATCTTCTGCCAGCCCAGTCATTAGACACAAGCCTAATGATATAACAGGGCCAAACTTGATAAACATCAAGAGGCAGGAAAGAGTCAGAGATTTCACTAAGAAACCTTTAAGTCTCTCTACTTGTTTTCCAGAAGCTGCCAAATTCTTTTATTTGACAGCATCTTAACATGCAATTAGACATCAGATCCTACCCCACCCTTTTGAAAAAAAAGGGTACGTTATTTTGATGACTAGGTTTAAGACTGTCTTGCTCACAGGATCATCAGTCAATGACACCATTTAAAAAGGTCTTATTAAGGGCACTCAAGCAGCAAGGAAGAGGAAAAATGAACAATGAGGGTGCCTTACTGGGAACTGAGTGCAGAATGTTGACAAGAGACAACACAGTACAGCAAATATGAGATATTGGAGAAGTTTACTTTTCAAGTCCAGTTTAACTTTCAGTCTCATTCTTCCCAAATAAAGGATCTACATGGGTGTGCCCTAAGTAGGGCTAAGCAAACAAGTGAAGGCAGGAATCATGACTGGTTGTCATCCTCAAATTATGATATACTCTGCCGATTCCTTCTGTCAGCAACTGCTCACTGCTCCAAATGTTTTGAGCAATGACAATGTGGGTCTAAAGTCACTGAGCAGTGCAATAAATTCACCTTGCAAGATTTAGATTCTCTGAAAAACCTTTAGTAACATGACATCACGCCCATACCAAAACAGACCCCCAAATCCAACTTCCAGTCCAAAATCGTGTTGGAGGCACTGCAGTCCAGTTCTGGCAGATTTACTATATGGGCAAGATCTGTTCTAGGACAGTTTTGGAAGACTGTGGAATTCTGTCTGGGAATTTTATATCAAATTCAACAATAAGATCTCCTCGTTGGTTTGGATTCTTGGGAAATGGAAGGCCTTCTCCAGGAATTCTTCGCTTCATTCCAGGCTTAATGACATCCTTGAATGCCATTGGTATGGACCTACCATCCAATGTTGGCGTATTCAGTGTGCAGCCACACAGAGCCTAAATAAAAAACAATATGAGTTATTTTCAATTTCCCTTTAGTTTCCTCTGGGGGGAAAATCCCCATTCAACCTAGTGAAAACTTTGTGTATTATATTATCTGAAATTTTCAAACTGACAATTACCCAAAATTAATTGGAAAAACACTGAAAAAAAATCAAGGTAACTATTTAGCTTCTAATTGTGTCTCAAAGACCATGGTACTCCTATTGACTAGTCAAGCATGTCCCAAGTGGAGGTGTGCAAAGTTTTTTTTTTACTACAACTCCTAGGATTCTGCAGATTTGTAATCCACAGACACAAATCTGCACAATTCTAGTATCAATCATGTAGATGTGCACTTGTTGCTTCTGAGTATCTCAGAGATCTGTTTCATCCACTTTTAAAATCTAAACATCTCAATCCATTACACAGAAATGTATGAGAACAAGGTAAACAAGAAAAATTTGAAATGGGGAGGAAAAAAATAAACACCTCTACATCACTGATACTAGCAAGCCTGACATTGCCACTTACCTCACGGAGGCTGATCTTTGCTGGGTATATAATATCAGACCCATCTCTCTTAAAAATGCTATGTGGTTTGTCCTTTAAAACAAAGACAATATCAGCTGGAATGTTGTTTGGCATTTGGTCTCCTTCTTTGGGGAATGTAATCTTAGTTCCTTCTTTCCAGCCACGTTTCACTTCAATTGTTAGAATCTTATCTTCATTACGTGTGGTCTTCCCATCTGGGTTGAGGCGTTTATGAGAAATTTTCATTTTCTTGGTGCATCCACTGTAAATCTCCTCCAAAGATACTCTCAATTCATGAGTGATAGCAGGGTCTTGTTTCTTGCGAATATTTTCACGGCCCCCACGTGCACGAGAAAAACCAATGTTGCCAAAGTTCTGAAAGCTTGCAAAGGGATCATCAACGTCCATATCTTCCTCTCCATTTCTCTGGACAAAGAAAGTATCAAAAGGATTCCGCCCACCAAAGAATTCTGCAAACATGGCATGAGGATCTCCATGAAAAGTGTAGGTGAATGAAGTGCCATTGGGACCTCCTCCACTGCAGCTGGGACCACCTCCTTTTAGTCCTGAAATACAAATAAGACCCAATAAAGTCTCTTTCCACAGATCCTCAACTACAGTCATTAATATTACACTAGAAGCTCTAATCCCTGAAGTCTTGTATTCTCTACACTTTATTAAAGGTTATGTCACTCTCAACAAAATTATAGTAATACTTTAGTGTAAGTACTTCAAACAGCTGATTATAAAACACTACAGGATGAAATTGTAAAAGAGGTATTCTTAGAACTTGTATAACCATTCTTCCTATCATTTTCCTCTCACTGTTCCCCCTTTTAATTAAAGGTGCTACTGTCCAAATTGCATCAAAAATTCTACAGCTCACATTCATCAGCAATCTCAATAGAATTAAGGCTGCTACAGGCAAAATGTAACTTAAAATAATCTCTTCTATTGAACAGATATTTAAAATAAGCCTTGACAAAACAGTCCTATCAAGCAAGAACAATTCCATGACTGACAAATTAGCATAACAGTATGCTGGAATATTCTAGCAACCGCCAGAATACTTCTATAGCCAAAAGCTCCACCTATCTCAGACAGACTGATATGCAGGCAAAGGTATACAGCCAATACAGATTGCCAACACCCGTTTACAAGAAAAATAACTATGCTAAAAATACATGCTGTGCAATAGAAACAAATACTGTACAGAGAATCTCTACAAATTCAGTATAATCTATACAATTATATGAAGAGCTATTTCAGTTACAACAAATCAATTCCTGTCATGAATGGAGCTCATGTTCTGCAAACTAAAAACTTCACGATCAAACAACCCATCTTCATCTGTTGAAAAATAAATACACGAAGTGATCTTCAGTACTATTTTAAAAAGCAAACGAACAAAGCCTGCAAAGTAGAAATTGTGAAAGGCAACCTTAAATGGGGGAGGAGGATAGTACTTTCACCTCTGGCCTAATTATTTTTACTTCATTTCCAAGTAAGCTTCCCAGGCAGGAAGAACCTGTAGAGTAATACTGGATTTCAAAGGAGTGACCTTATTACAGTAAGAACAATTCAAAGATGGCAACTCCTCTGGCCAGCTTCCAGGAGGGACAAAAAAGGAGTAAAAAAGAGCTTGTTTTCTCTTTATCTGCTCCTTTCTCCCTCCTCTTTAGTTTTCTTGGAAAACCGGGTCCCAGTAAGCAACTTGCTGAACTGTCAGTTTGACAGCCGCTCCGAAGAGAAATGGGAGACCCGCCCAAAAAAAAAAAGTAATTAAAAATTGCAAAAAAACCCCCAATGAATTGCACAATCTGCACGCCGAGACCTTACCCTTTTTTCAACGAGAGGACAAAAAGGTGCGTGTGTGGAGGGAGAATACGGCCGAAGGAATCAACGAAGCTGGAGTCTACGGGGCTTACCGATCTAACTTAAGCGGGAAAAAGGGCTACTTTGGCTAAAGCAATACCGAGGCAAAACAATCGACTGAACTGCCAAAAGGCCTCTCTCGACCCCCCCCTTTTTTTGGGGAAGGTCGGTCTGAGGGCGACCCCAAAACGTCGGCTCCCGATTCCTTTCCGTTCCAGCAAGAAAGAGCCTTTCCACCCGCCTCCCCTCCTCAGCAACAACAGCAGAGGCCCCGCACGTCTCCCCAGCCCGACCCGCTACGGCGGATCTGGAGACGGAGCCTGTCCGAGCCTTTCCTCCGCCAGCGACCAGAATCCAGGG